CATGTGCCATGATGTGTGTATGACAGTCGAGAACCCTGTGGAGTGGGTTCCCTCCTCTCACTTCTATGTGGGTTCTTTGAGTTGAGCTTAGGGTCTCAGGCTTGCAAAGTGTTCTGCCCACTGAATCATTCTGCCAGTCCTAAGGATGACAATTGTTATTAAAATGAAACTTTATTATTATTGTTACTCTTCATATCTACATATGTGCAATGAGTCCATACAATGCACATTTTCTGTACAGTACAATCCTCATATTATCACTGAGCAAACAGATTCATGCATGGAAGGTCTATGGTGTGACTGGGTGTGCAAATGTTAAATGGACAGGACAGGTGGAGCTCTGAGAGAAAGACAATGATTTATGTTTATTTTGAGAGGATGTGTAAGACCCCTCAAACTTCATACACTGAAGCCTGTGATAGTACTGGAATCATGATTGCAGCTGGAATCATCTAGAAGGTAAAGACCCTGGCGTAACTGTGAAGGGGTTGCTATTCCATAGGCAAGGGTCCTAACTGAATAAAAGGGAGAAAGTGAACTGAGTACCCACGTTCATCTCTTTCGGCTTCTTACTGTGGGTGCAATGTAAATAACTGTCTCACACTCCTGTAACACACCAGCCCTGCTGTGATGGACTGCACCCTCCCACTGTGACACTCCTGTGACACACCAGCCCTGCTATGACGGACAGACTGCACCCTCACACTGTAAGGTAAAATAAGCCCTTCCTCCCTTCCATTTCTTCGTCCAGTGTTTTTCTCAATCAAGTAGACAAGAGGCTGACTCAAAGCCATAAACATCACAGTGATATTTGCAGGTGGAAACTCCTGGTTGGAAAGTAAGATGTAGGTGTAGATGTGAGACTTGGTGTAGATGAAGCCATGAAAGCTGAGTTTCCAAGGATAATGTCCTTAGAAAGAAACAAAGAGACCTGAGTCCTTAGGCATGTCGCTAGCTACTTGGCAGACTGAAGCAAAAATATCATAAACTCAAGGTCAGCCTGATCTACAAAGTGAGTTCAAGTTTAGCCTGAGCAACGGAGTGAGACCCTATGCTAAATTAAAAATGTAGAAGAGGGCTGGGATGAAGCTCAGAGGTAGAGCATTTGCCTTGCATGTGAGAAGCCTTAGGTTCACTGTCTATACCACATGTGCATGTGCACATGTGTGTGCATGTATGTGCACACACACAAACACACACACAGAGAGAGAGAGAGAGAGAGAGAGAGAAAGAGAGAGAGAGAGAGAGAGAGAGAGAGAGAGAGACACTAGCTTTCCTTTCTTTCTATCACATAAGTACATGGACACAAGGCAGTTGTTGGTTGACAAGGATGAGAACCTTCATTAGGAGCTGGATTGGCTGCCACCTTGATCTTGAACCACTCAGTCTCCAGAACAGAAATAAATTAATGTTTGCTGTTGAAGCTGTGCATAGATGTTTTGTTCTAGAATCCTGAACTGTTTGTGACCATGGTTTTCTGCTCCTGTCACTAAAGTGAGTTTCCATGTTTTCATGAGTAAATTCATAATGTTCCCACTCCCACATCACACCCCATAAAAGTAAGCCTGCATTTTGGGGACTGAGCTTCTGCCTCCATGTGAGATTACAGCTCTTTCTCTAATTAATTATGCACCAGTGTCTCTGGCTAATAAAATCTAAACAAAGAGCTTTTAATCCAATTCATGGTTTTGTCCCCCTCCACTGTGAGCAGGCTGTCAAACATTATCAGATTCCGCATGTAAAGCAGAGAGGAGGCAGGCGCCATCCCCACCTGCTTAGCAGGATTGTAAGCAGAAAGCTTCAAGTCAGAGAACAGTTGGCTGTGCAGATGGCTGGGACAGAAAACTCTGGGAGAAGCCACTTGCTTACTGTAGCCCGGACTGGGGAAGAGACCATTTGAGGGTTGCAGGCAGAGAGACACTTCTCTGGGTTTCTTGACTTGGTCCAATGAATGGGCGAGAACTCAGAAGGAGAATATTAAATATTGGCAAAGAGGTGTCCCATTGATACATGCCTTACCTACATCTCTAACATTCTTCACAGTGGAAACTGAATAATCTCCTGTTTTCCAGGTTAAAAAAAAAATGATGAAAACCCCACAGGTGAAGTCATTTACCTAAGATGGCACAGCACTCATTAAGGTAAGTATAGTTGGAGGGATTTGAACCAAGGTCTTCCAGACCCTCTAAGTTACACTAGACATTTGGCGAAAGCTCTAAGGTGACCACTGAGTGATGGCCTATATCCATCTCTAAAATGCTGCATAGAGATACAAGAAGGTAGAATGTGCTGTCTGACACACATGTGCCTTTATAAACTGAGAGAACAGAATGAACACATAAGGACCAAATTAAAAGCATTAATGTACTGAACTGTGTGACCACGACACAAAGTCTGCCAGTCAGGGCTCTCTATAGGCAGAGAACTGATAGAACGAGTATTTGTATTGAAAAGGTCTATTAGACTGCCTTACAGGATGTGGTCTGGGTAGCTCAATAATGCTTGTCTTGTACTCTGGAGGTTGACAATCCAATAGCAGTAGCTCAGACCATGAAGCTAGATGTCTCAGCAACCCTGATCTGGGACAGGATTTCTGGAGTATTTCTGGAGAGCTCCTGGTCCTCAGTCCACATTGGAAGCTTGAAGGGCTTCAGTGCTCATGGCGAGGCTGAAAAAATTGACTCCAACATTAGTGATGGAATCAGCAGAGGCAGCAACAGAGTAGCTGTGAGGGAAGGCCTGGTGAAGAGAAGGGAGAACCTCTCTGTCTCCCATGTCCTTTCTCCAAGCTGCTACCAACAGGGGGCACACATATTCGGGGTGAGTCTTCCTACATCAGTTAAGGCAATTAAGACAACCCCCCACAAACTTGCCCACAGCCCAGCCTAATGTACCCTATCATTCATCTCAACTGTCTCTTTCTCCAGGTGATTCTAGGTTAAGTCAAGTTGACAATGAAATTAACCGTCACACTGGGCTCAGAGGATGGATTACCACAAAAGGAAAAATGGAGTAGCTTGGCAGCTTAGAACAATGAGCATTTTCATGACGTGTTAGCATATTCTTGAGGTCCTTTGAGGGTGAACAGCCTCATTCAGTCCTCTGCCCATTGCTTTGGGTATTGTCAGAAAATAATAATTAATATGCAAATAAAGTTAATATCAGAGAATACATAAACTCTGATATCATCTATTATAGACATGTAGGGCCATGGACATCTACTGCATTTATAAATGCAGTAATGTCACACCCAGACAAAACCTGCTTGTGTTAGTTCTAGACATGCAGATGTCACAGACACTGGCTCGCTATTGCATGCATTGAGCATGCAGGTGTTGTTTTCGTCGGCTGGGGAGATGGCTCAGTCAGTACAGTACTTGCAACATAAGCATGTGGAGCTAAATTTGAGCCCAAGTATTGACATAAAAACCCAAGCATGACTGTGCATATTTATATTCCAGTTCTAGAGATGTGGAGGCAGGATGCTGCGTTGGGCTCACTAGTCAGACAGCCTAGCCTCGCTGGGCAGTCTCAGGTACCACCGAGAGAACTTTTCTCCCAAAATCAAGGTGGGTAGTGCTGGAGGAGTGACAAACACCCAAGGGTGACCTCTTGACTCCTCACACAGGTATACGTACATGCACATAGGCACACACAAGCACGCATGTGGTATGATTCAAGGAGCTATGATTCAGGAGAAAAATACACAGAATTTTAAAATATTTATCATCATATTAAAGAAAATATTTGCTTATAGCATTTAAAGAAACAAAATTTTGCATAATATATGACTTAATTAGATATAAACTATGAATTAAGAATTCTGACAGGAAGCAATTACCAAGACTATCCCATCTATCCCCTGTTACCCAACTTGTCATCAGCATAAACTACTGAGTAAACTACTGAGCCTCTTGGTGCGAATGGCTTTTGTTGTTTGTTTTCTCATTTTTAAAAGTTGTGGTTTTCTTATTATGAGGTTATTGCGAAAATTGAATGAGAACATGCATCACACATAAGCATATCATACACAAACAACTGAGAGAAAAAAAACCCCTCTATCTAGCATTTGGAAAAAACCTCCTCGCAAATAATAGTATTTACTGTGCTTTATTGTTCTTTAAAGTTACTCAGTAATTTGCTCTCCTGATAATTCACACGCCTGCTGGTGCACACATGAACATGCATACACTAGGTAGTCTATAAAGTTCGCTCAGAATCGGGGCACGGGGATTGTCTACGAAAGGTGATGGTGCTCTGGCAAGAAGAGACTTCCAATATTTTTCCAATGAAAAATAAGTATTTTGGAACTGAGGAGATGGTTCAGTGGTTAAAGCAACTCTCAACTTGAGCAAGAATACTAGAGTTCAGATCTCAAGCATCCTGATAAATGCCAGGTAGATATGGTAGCTCCCCTGTAATTCTAGCCTTAGAAACTAGAGACAGGAAATCTAAGTCAGCTAGCAAGATACACTCATCAGTGAACTCTAGGTTTGATTGAGAGAGCCTGCTACAGACAGAAAAGTGGAAGAGTGAAGATTTCCAACATCGACTTTGGGCCTCCAAACCCACAGGCACATCCATGCATGTAGAGCTTAGCATATGTGTATACCTACACAGGCAAACATGTATAAACTCATACACACACACACACACACACACACACACACACACACACACGTAAACCAAAGAAAAATAAGTACTTGTGTTACCATGAATTAGAATAAGGGTCTCATAATTAGCAGCTGTTGCAGTTTTGTTTGTGTTGCTGTGGTAAATTACAGAAGCAGCTTAGGGGACTAAAGGGTTTATTTGACTCAAAAGTCCAGCTTCCAGCCCATTACTGGAGGGAAGTCAAGACAGGAGCTCAAACATGGAGTCACATTGATTTTATAGCCAAAAAGACTGCAGAATTCAGAGGGGGTGGAGGGCCGCAGGAGAACATGGCCTGCTGAATCACAAGGACTAGGCTGCATGGATCTGCGCCAGGTCCTCTGTGTATATGTTCTGGCTGTTTGCTTGGTGTTTTTGTGGGACTCCTGACAGTGAAATTGGGTATGTTTCTGACTCTTTGTCCAGCATCCAAATGAGGGTTTTCATCTTGTCTTGTTGTGTCCTGTTTTGTCCTGTTTGGCTGTTGTCTCCTTCCGAAGAGGAAATGGAAGGGACGTGGATCTGGAGGAGAGAAGGGATGGGGGAGAGCTAGGAGGAGTAGAGGGGAGGGGAAATTGTGGTTGGGGTGTATTGTATGAGAGAAGAGTCTATTTTCAATAAAAAGAAAAGAATTAGAAGAGAATACATACACAGATTCTTGTTTGCTTGCTTGCGCTCAGCGAGTTTTCTCCTTTCTTCAACTGTTCAGGATTTCTTGCCTAGGATTTAAACAGAGGTGCAGACAGTGGGCTGGGTCATTCTCTATCAATTAACAATCAAGATGAATCCCCAAAGACACAGCACAGGCCATCTTGGTTAAGATAACCCCTCATTAAGACTCTTCTCCTGTGATTCTAGATGTTTCAAGTTTACTGCTGAGCGGAACCAGCATGGGTGCATTAGCGCCACCAGGAGAAGCTCTTTCCTCTGATCGTTGTGCAGGACAGAATATTAGTCTTTTCAGAGAAAGTATCAGAATTGAATCCCACTATTTATCATGAATTCTCCAAGGAGAGATTAACACACAAAACCTCGTTGAAGATTGCAAGTGACTCATGAGAAGACAGCTGCCCGGAAGACTGGCCTTCTGTTTTACATGCTTTCCTGTGTACCCTAGAGCCGCTGGTCCCTTCGGGTACCAGATAGCCCCTTGCCATCTACTTAAACAATAAGCATTACCTTTGCAATTCAAGGACTGTGCTCTGACACTCAAAGCACTCTAGGTACTGCTTGCTTACGTCCACTTCTCTCCATGGAGACTTGTCTGGGGGCAGTTAGCAAATCCTTTTGGTGTCACTCCAAAGAGAATGAGAGAAAAGCGGTATTTGAGGAACCAGGCAGAAGTTGTATGGAGAACTGCATGTTAGAAGACTAAGTGAGGCAAATGTTAGAATGAAATCGGCCTCCCTGGATCCAAACCAGGATCCAAAGCATGGAACTTCAGTGCCCATGGTGTCAAAAAGAAATCAGAAGAGTGTAACTTTATGATTCTGAATAAAGGAGAAATTCTGGACCCAATGGTAGGGAAAGGAAGGTGAGGGCATCTCCAGCAGGAAATACAGGCAGAGCTGCAATCGGAGGTGTGATGAGCGGTGGGCAGGAGGCTGTGGCACTAACAAGGAAAGTGTCCTCTGGACACAGCAGGGAAACTGCATACATTAACTCTCAGCACTTATGAAAGTATTCATAAGCCATGCGAGCCCATGCCAGATCAAATGCAGCATAGAGAGGAGAGGTGGGCACAGGTCCCAACCCAGTGCAAGAGCGATTAGCAGTCAGGAGCCCCTGGGAGAGGTAGTCAGTTTCCTTTAATTAGACTGTTGCCCTGGTAGGTCCACCACCATGTTTCTGGGGAAGTCCCCCTCCCATCCATAAACGTGTGTGCAGCAAAAATTGGAAAATTGAGAGGTGAAAAAAAAGTGGATACAAAGTTGGCTGGGTAGGGAAGAGGGTCTGGAAGGAGTGGCGAGGAGCTAGTGAATGTGATCAAATACAATGTGCAGAATTCTCAAAGAACTATTGAAAATAATTCCGTAAATAACTCCCTAATTTTCTCTAAGTTTCTTATCTTTAAATAGCATTTTAAGTTAGCACAAAAGTAATAGCTTCATTGTGGCATTTTCTTAAATGGTATTTTTGTTTCTTTTATCCTCCTGCCTGATTTTCCTCCCCCAAACTCCTACCCCAGGTTTCCCGTTTCCTGTAGGACTTCCTCAGTGTGCTGAGTTAGAGGAGGGAAAAGGTAGCAGCCTCTCTCCCCTTTAGCTATGCCAGAAGAGAACATATGCCTCGTCATTTGTATTTGTCCATAAATACTTACCTTCATTTATGACACAAAAAATGATCATCATCTGTCTCCCATCTCTGTTCAAGAGATGAATCAGAATGACATGTCTTTCTGGTCATGAACAAGGGAGGCCGAGTGTTGTCTTATTGAGAAGCAGGGAAAGATCCCAAGTAAGCACATTCCTACCTGAAGAAGACAAATGCAGACAATACTGAGTGCTGTGAAAGTCTCAGGCAGGATGAAGTAATAATGATGCCTGGATTGGTCAGAAGGGCTGGGTCATCAGAAGGGGGCAGATGCCAGTGGATGCTGAATGAGGAAACACCTGTAGAAGTATTCAAAGATCACATGGCTACAAGGGGCTAAGTAAGTAGTAGGGGCTAGAGGAAAGACTTAGGATGTCACAGGATGTGCTAAAAGGTCAGGCTGGCTGAGACATTGCGGAAGAATAACTAACAGGCAGTGTACCCAACCCGCCCTTCAAGGGACTGTCTGGAAGGAATTTGACTAGTTTTTCCTCTAATGTTATCATTATCATTTTGTTTCAGGTTCAAAATTTGTGATTTCTCTATTTGTAGGTAACCTGGCAGGCACATGCGGAGCACAATATGTCCTTTACTGAAGTCCAGATCACAGTATAAACCCACGGCTCTGGGAGTGAAGCTCAGCACCCCTTCATGGAAGCTTACTATTGTCCGCAAGCTGCCGTCACCTTCCCAGGTGTTAATTTGTGTCAGAAATAATCCATGCAGGAACCCATCACTCCTAGTGTCTAGAATGGGTATGGGGAGACACAGCAGTGACTTAAGAAGGGATGGTTCCTGAGGAGAAAAGAGCTTCGTGTGGACTTTTAATTTTGTGCTTCAGACTCATCTTTTCTCTGCTGGAGTAATTTGATCTCCTTCTGCTATGTTTTATTGCATTCATGAGGAATGTCCATTGCTGCTCTGATGTTATTTGGGGACTTGCAGATCTGGGAAGATTTAGATCTCTGTACCTTACATATAAAGGCAACACTGCTGGGGTCAGTGTGATGTATTTTACAAACAATGGAGCTGGGTGATCAGCTGTCATGTAAGTTTGAATTCTGGTCCTGACCTTTTGCTTTTGCCCCGTACTGTGTGGCCATGTGCAAGTCATTTCTCTGCTCCAATCCTCATTTTACACAGCTGTGAAATGGGGATGAATTCATGAGTTTATAGAGTATTTTTAAGTAGACAAAATAAGACAAAGTAGGTAAAACAGGATAGATAGCAATGATCAATTTGTCATCTATCATCCATCATCATCATCATCATCATCATCATCATCATCCGCAGCAACAGCAGCATATCATCTTCCTTTTATCTTGTTTGCCTTCTGAATTAGTTACTTTTTTGTTGGTGCGACAAAATATGAGGGAAAGCACTGGAATCAAGGAAGGGTCTATTTTGGTTCACAGCTCAAGAGAGAGCACAGTCTGTCATGGTGGAAAAGTCATGGTGGCAGGAGCCATAGCCAAGTGTTCTAGTTACACCTATGTCAGGAGGCAGATAAAGATGAACGCCAGTGCTCAGCTTGCTTTCTCCTTTGTATTCACTCTGGAACTCCAATCCAGGGGATTCTGCCACCCACAGCCAGGGTGAGTCTTCCTCCCTCTTTTAACCCAGTTTAGAATGCTCTTGCGTATATGCCCAGAGGTTGTCTCGGACATGATTTAAGTTCTTGTTGGCAACAATGTTCATCATCATATGTTTATCTTCCTCCATCATTGGCATCAGCAACTCATTCACTGTCATCACGACAATGATCAATATCTCCTTTCCTATCACCATTATTCTCAGGACAAGGCTCAGGACCACAATGTACATGATGCAGGCTTGGGAACCTGCTTGCTGGGGTTTGAATCCTGCCTTCTCTACTAGTTCTACATCTGTGAATTCATGCACATTTTGATGTTCTATATCTCAGTTTTCCTAACTCTATCTAAGAACAGTGCAACTTCACAGAATAGGACTGAGGATTAACAACCCACATTCAGAGAAAGTGCACAGAACCGAGGATCGTCAGGGAGAGCGTTTTCTATGGACAGGAAAACGTGTCTGTCTGTGATATCTGAAAGTGGAACTCATGTTGAAATATCAAACCCTAGTCCTGAAACTAGAAGCCAGAAGCAGATGGATACTAATCTGTCATTGTCTTGCTTCTTGATGTCAAAGACAAATGTGATGCCCTGAATCCTCAGTCTTCCCTTGCCTGCTGCCATTCTGCCCTTCCTGTGTGTGCCCAGGAGATGGCTCCCAGAGGAGGCATTGAGTTTGCAGCCCAGCTTGTGTCTACAGGGGGAAAGCAGTGGGATTCCAGATAAAGCCTCTAGCCTTACCCTCCCCACACACCCTTCTTGGTGAACCCTCTAAGGTCTCAATAATTCACCTCAGTCTCTAGGCTCAGACAGGTTGCTTGGAAAAGCAAGTTTTGAGCCAAGGGTTTTGGCAGGTCTTAAAATATTTCCTTCTGTGTGACTGAGATCACATCTCCATTATGGGCACCTGGAGTGCAGCAAGGCATAAAAACACAGGAATGAGGAACAAATGCGGCCCTCAGCTTATAATTCACCCCTGTCACAGTGAGACCTAGGAACAACCCGTATGACTTGCAGTGTGAGATCTGGGAGAAAGGAACATAGCTTCTTGGTTGTACTTGTTTTAATGATATAAAGCAATATTAAGTATGCTAATGAAGTATTTGTCTATCCCCAGGGGTAGCTCCCGATTTCTCTGCATTTCTAATGGACAAAGCTTGAAAATGCATGTGTCTACTTGCACCCTCCACCAGCTCCTACCGGGTTGCTGACTTCTGCTCCTGCTTCCTAGAAAAATGCTGGAAGTCTACAGCGGTGGGCTACAGGGGCCACAGATACACAGAACAAGGTGAGGCATGTGGTGGTGCCACAGGCAGTCACTATAGAAACCACAGTAAATACTAAGGTCCCGGAGACACAGCGGAGGCTGTGGTGCTGCTGCTAAATATCTCATTCACAGCGAGAGGGTGCATTGTGTATTTGTTTGTTTGTTTAGTTCATTTATTAGGGGTATTAGAGATTGAACCCAGGCCTTAGTGCATGTGAGCCAGCCGTGCACCAATGAGCTCTGTCTCCGTGAAAGATGTGTTTAAATTGTTGGAAACAGGAAGAAGAAGAGAGAAGAAAAAGAAGGCAAAGAATAAAAGAGTGATTAGTTCAACCAATGAATAACTCAGCTATAGTGCCAGAGATAGGAATTGATCAGTGTATTCTGAATGTATTAGTCATGGTTGCTAAACACCCCCTCCCACAGACACACAGACAAACACACACACACACACACACACACACACACACACACACACAGTTTGCCTTACATGTGTACTGTCTGCTAAGCCTCAATTATTTATTGAGGTACCACACTAAATATTTTCCATAAATTATTGCTTTCATTTCTAATTTATAGACGAAGAATCTGAAAGATGGAATTCCTTTTCGGCCTAGAGTCACTCAAATCTGACCCAGGAGAAACAGATTTAGGGTCATATTGCCTGACTTCTGTTCCCACTTTGGCCATCCATATTTCTTGATGATGTGGCCATCTTACTTGTTAAGAGGTCACAGGATCACTGTAGAGAATTCTCAAATAAGAAAAGACACAGAGGTTTATCTTCTTCATGAGAATATGTTCCAAAACCCTGGATGCATGCCTCCAGTTGAAGATGACAATACCAAGTCCTATATATACCGCTTTTCTTAGGTACATATATCTGAAATAGGTTTCTCTGTATGTGGATACAATAAGGTCTGATTTATAAGTTAGCTAGAATAAGAAATGGACGTGCGAATGAACAACAAAAGACTACAACCATGCCAATGGACTGTAACAAGAGTAGCAAGAATTTTCTCCCCCGTTGTTTTCTTCCCCCACCTCTCAGCAGTTGAACACAAGCACTGTGATTCTGAAGCAGCTGATCAGACAGCCTAGACGTCTACTTACACGAATGGTGGCTGAGGAGCACATGCAGTGTGGATCTGCTGGAGAACACGGCTATTCCCATCTCAGCTTGACTGGAGTCTGGAGGTGTGAAATTTCACCATACTATTTAGAACAGCAGGCAACTTAAAATTCATTATTTGGCTATTTCTAGAAATTTTCATTTGGTATCTCCAGATTGTGATAACCTGAGGATACCTGAACTGTAGAACTTGAAAGTGTGGACAACAGGAGGGGTGGGTCTTTATTAGAGGAACAACAAGAAGGGTGGGTCTTTATTAGAGGAACAACAAGAAACGAGACAAGGCAGTGAGATGCAGGTCCACTGTGACCTACACTCATTCCTCTCCACATCCGTGAAAGAGTTTTTGTGGCCCTTCGTCCTGGCCGCACTGCTTGTGTAGTCTGCAGGCCCGGCTCAGTCTGTGTGTCACAGAGGAATTCTGCACTGTCCGTCAAACGTTCCTCCCAGAATCTGTCATCAGAAGATGACGTCATCTTTCATGCTTTGAACCCCATGTTCCCTCATGTGAATTACAGGTAAACAAAGGTGGAAACATGTCCTCAGCTTGGCAAAGTATGGCTGTGGTGGAGACCATAACAGCTCATCACAACACTCTGCATCTTGGTTTTTACTGGTGTTCTCTTTAAGCAGTGTGGTTGCCTTCATAAGCCCACAAAGGAAAGAAAGCAACAAAAATGACAAAATGAAGCTACAGAGAAAGCATGGCTATTGAAGCAGGTGGGAAATTGTTTTTTAATAATCAGAAATCCATGGAGAATATCGAACCAGCTTTGCCCACAGACAAGCAGCTGCCTGTGGAAGCTTCAGCAGGCTCAGGTGCGACCAGTGATAAACTTCTGCTATTTTTCATGCTGTGAAATTCTGCGCTGGATCATCTCTCTGCCACTATGGAAAGAACCCACACCTCCTAGCATTTTGTTTCTCTTTCTCTGCATGTATCCCACACTTTTCCTCAGATTGTGTGACAATGAAAGTCTCCGATGGACTTCTAAGTGATCCTAGAGTCTGCATGTGGCTGGTGTGTGTGCGTGTGTGCTTGTGTATATGCAAGTGGGCCAAGAGGTCAACCTTGGATGCTCTTCTTCAAAGCCATCTTTCTCCTGCTTCTCCTCCAGCTCTTCCTTCCCCTCCTTCAGATTTAGTTGTGTGTGTGTGTGTGTGTGTGTGTGTGTGTGTGTGTGTGTGTGTGTCGTGCATGTATATGAGTGCCCATGGAGGCCAAGAGAGGGCTTCAGATCCCCTGACCTGAAATTACAGTGGTAGTAAGCTGTGTGATATGGGTGCTGGGAGTGATGTGCACTCATCTGGTAGATCAAGCTGTTCTCCTAATCACCGAGCTATCTCTCCATCAATAACTTCACTTTGGCTTTTGAGACAAAGTCTCCTATAAGCCTGGAGTGAGCTGATCGGAGTGTCTTGGGGTCTTGGGGATCTGTCTGTCTCTGCCTCCCAAGCACTTGGGTTACAAATGCATGCCACCACACTGGCATTGGACGTTTTACTTCTGGTCATGTCTGTTGAGATCAGAAAAATGAGTAAGACTGAGACATGATGAATCATCAGGCAAGTCAGGGTCTTCTGAAGAGCTTGCTCAGTGAAAGCTTGATTTCTTGACTGTTTAATTGAATTCCTGACTGATGTCTTGACCGAGGCAGGGTGCTACATTCTTGTTTACTTAGTTACCACTTCCTTAAAATGGTGGTAGAAGGAGGCGCTCAGCCTCAGCTACTTGGAAACAGGAGCCTTTGGATGGATGGGAGTTGGAGACATGACCACACCCACATGACCAGGGTACTCAGCTGGGAGTATTAAGAGATCATTGTGAGGCCAGTACACTGTCAATTCCCGTTTAGAGCAGCGAAAGTGAAGGTGTAGGTTCTCCAGGGCTCACATGCAGACTCTTGATCGCTCAGGACTCGTCTTAGCTGGGACTTCCCGTTACCTCAAAGCCTGTGCTTCCCAATGGCTTTCCGAACTAACCCAGCCCCTGACATTACTTTTCTTTGCAATCTTGGGGAGATGCCTCATCTGTCATATGGCATGGATTTGAAATTATGGAACTCAAAGGATTTTTAATGTAATCATCAGATTATTATTTTTTGTGAAAACAAAGTATCTTATAAACTTGCTTTTCTTTTTGTTGAAAGTGGCCAAGAAAATAAAGACAGTATAAAATATATGTCGTAAATAAAAGGCAACATTTGTGTGTACCAATGTGTATGTGAGGTAATATGTATGTATGGTGCGTATGCATATGGAGGTCTAAGCATGACCTTCAGTGGGATGCCTCTTGATGCCAATCATCTTGTGCTCACTCTGGGGCCTGGAACTCCAAGGACTAGGCCAGCAGGCCCCAAGGACCCTCCTGTGTCCTCCACCCAGTGCTGGAATCACTGCTGTGTGCCACCAGGCATAGCTCTTCACTCAGGTGTTGGGGTTCAACTCGGGTCTTTGTTCTTATGCGGCAAGCACTTTACTGACTGAACCATCTCTCTAGCCCCGAAAGGCGACATTTACAGTGACTTAAAGCCTCCAAAATCACACCACTCGTGCACAGGTCTGCCTCCCATTTGTTAAGTGTCTGGATTTGAGGCGTCTTTTCCTAACTCAGCTCCCTTTACTCCAAACTCCCCCTCCTAAGGTGGTGCAATGCAGATCCGAGTGTCTCTTTAGACCCTACTCAGACGCCTCACTAGAGAGTAGCATGCGTTCTGTTAGGGGCAGCTGTGGTTACTGATCCATTTGTTGGTCACAGGGATGATAAAATGGAACTTATGCTCCCACAGGCACACTCCTTCCTTAGGCAACAGTAGATATATTGAGAACCTCTAAGAAGACGTCCTTAAAACAGGTGTCAAGACCAAAAATTATTCTGACCTTTGTGCCAAATTGAGCATTATGTAAAAAAAAAAAAAGGAATGAAAACAATTGAGAACAAAGACCCCCCCCCCCCCCCCGTCCCCACTCAGCGCTATCCCCAGCTAGCTTCCCAAGACTCCTGGATAGAAAAGCAACTCGACACAGAGAAAAATGGTTTTTTATTTGTTAGTTTTTCATAACTCTCTAAGACAGGAATTTGACTAATCCATGCCTGCCGGTACTATGCCAGGGCCTTGTTGCTGCCTCCAGCACAACAAAGCACGCGGTCCTGTGGCTAGCAGATGCTCGTCCTGTGTGTGCCAAGGGAAGGGAGGCGAGGGGGAGAAAGCAGGGAAGGACGTTGAGCTGGGCTCAATGCCCACCTTCAAAGATGGTGGAGCAGATGGAAAGTGTCCAGTGAATAGTTGGATGTTCAGACCAAGAAGTGGGAGGTGTCAACCAGGCCCAGCCACCTGTGTGAAGTAGGAGGGGTGGGCCAGAGTCTGATAAAGAGAACTTCTGGAAGGACTTCCTGACTACAAAGACTGATTGACTGGTTAGAATTTCAGTGGCCTGGAAGGGTTGTGATGTTGCGAGCTCTAAACCAAAATATCTCAGGCCATCTTGAGCAGTCTTCAAAGCCACTCATTATTGCCATTCTCTGAACGTGACCTTGAAGGGCGTGGTCGATCGGTAGTTAAAAATTAACCAGACTAGCTTAATATAAAAGATTTAACTTTAATAAGCAGAAAAAAGGAAAACTTACAAAACCAACGTTCCAGCGATTCAAGAACGCAGGGGACAAAGAGGAAAATGGCAAGCACACCTAGATCTTTTATTTGCTTTGTGTGGCCCCAGGGGGACACACCCAAAGCAGAATGTGATTGGCTGAAGTTCCCCATTGTGACCTAGCATCTCTGTGACCATCAAGAAATTCCTTTGGAATGTGTAGATAGATTCTTAGATTCTATCAGTCAAAAGGCTGAGAATGTTGCTGGCATCTTGGGTCTATAGTTAAGACTTTCACCTACAAATGTTTCCTTCGGGGTATTTGAAGTGTCTTACCTTACATTTTCCTGAGTTCTGTTTCTATGAAGCTACCCAGGACTGTTATCAGGAAAGAGTCATAGTATTTGAGAAAACCTGAATCTGTATTTGTGGCCACTGTCATTCATATTAGCTCCAGAATAAACCCTCCCCTTTCTTCCTCTGAGGTGAGAGTTATTTCTTCCCTTGACAAGCCTCATATACAGTTCAGCCCAGACACACCCACTCCGGCAGGGGTCATCCCAAGCACACCAACTCCCGTAGGGTGAGAGCCCAGGCACATCCACTCTGGCAGGAGTCATCCTAGGCACACCTGCTCTGGCAGAGGTCAGCCCAGGCACACCCGCTCCCACAGGGTGAGAGCCATACCCAGCCCCTTTCCCCCTCCCTGCAGCTCTGAGGAGGAGTGCAGGCTGCAGCCAGGGTCTGCTTTCACAGATGGGAATGGCTTATCAAAGACTCTGAGACTCCAGGTCAGGGTTGCCTTCCATGCTCAACCGTGTTTTACATCTCTATGCCTCGTTCACTGCTCCAGTGAGTGGGGGTGACAGACATGGAAGGAAGGGCATTGATAAAAGGCCTGAAAATAGCTCAGGTCCTAATTAGGGTATTTTATATGGGAATCCAAAACTACTAGCCTTTTGAAAGATTTATATCTATTATTATTATTATTATTATTATTATTTCTAGTAAGTTTCTCTGAAAGAGCTACCTGTACCTTCAACCACAAGCTATCTTTCCAGCCCCCAAAAAATGAGCCTTGAAATGTAGTAAACTGACCCCTGCCAGAACTGCAGCCTGGAACCCTGTGACTTGATCCTTTGAGCTGCACTGAGCTTTAATCAACTGGGACTGCCCTGATTTACTTGAACCTGACTTGTATGGCTCTAATTTGTGTGGTAGAAACGGAAGAACTGCAAATTATGTGCACAGCAGCTCCTTCTGACCTTCCAGAACATACTATCCAGTATGGGCTATCTAGGATGAATTACAATCAGAAAACAGCAAGCAGAAGGTTCGCTCACCCCGGAGGCTGCAGAAATTTCTCAGCAGCTGAGAGCACTTACAGTCTTGCCCAGGTCTGTTCCCAGCACCCACAGCCAGAAGTTCAGAGGTTCACAGTCTGTAACTCCAGTTCCAGATGATTCAACACACTCATCTGTCTATGTGGGTACCTCCTTCCCCCCATTTAAAAATAAAAATAATCCCTTACAGAAAATGAATCTTAACATGCCAAACTCTCATCATCCCGCTTAGCCATCACCTTGACCACTGAACACACGGAGTGGGGGGTACATCAATAGACAATAACATTTAACTCTGTATTGCAAAGTGATTTTGCTTGTCTTGATCCTGGACTGAGGAATGAAGGCTTCTTTGAATCAGGTTTGATCATTGAGCTTGGTGGCTTGGGTCTGTGTAGTCCTAATTACTTGGAGGATTAGACAGAAGGATCTTACATTCAAGGCCTAGTGGGGCTACAAAGTGAGTTCAAGGCCAGCCTGAACAACTCACTGAGATCCTGTATCAAAATAAAAAAGGTTAAAAATATGTGTGGAATGTAGTTCAGTCACTTGGCTCATGGGCACAAATTCTAGATAATGTTTTATTCTAAACACCTCCTCTCATCACAAAGTGACCCTGACATCTTCCTTAGTAGAATGTGGTTCAGTTTGTTTGAGATGAAAAGCAAAGCCTCTAAGGGAAGACAAGTATGGATGCACATCCCGACTCTGCCACCCCTGTGGGAACTGCTGTGCTGGCCCTGCGGCTCATCTGCTTCTCAGTGCCTTCATTGTCCTTCTATCTGGGCTTTTGCTCGTTCTCTGCAGTTCACTGAGGTCACCCCATCGCTCGACACCTCCTCTTGTCTTCTTCCGTGACTCTTTCCCACAGGCATGCACACAGCAAGTATAATCCCAAAAATACAAACTCAATTGTTACTGACTTCTCCCTTTCTCCAGTGAGACTGTAAACACATCAGCTCTGTGTAACATGAAGGGGGGCTGCTTGTTGGGAGTTTTCTGTCCCACCTGGTACCCCACAACCAGCAAGCCCCAAATAAAATCACATAGAGATCTCTATAAGTTATAAAGCTGATTGGTCCATTAGGTCAGGCTATTTATTAGCTCTTGTAGCTTAT